CCTTCCCTCCGCGCCAGGGCTGGCAGCGCCCGGTTCGTCGCGCCTCGCGGGCTCGGGCTGGGCGGGGGTCGCTCCCAGCCTGAGTGTAGCTTGAGGGAGGTCCTTCCCTCCTCGCGTCCCGGGATGGGATGGGGGCGCGGAGGCCCGGAGAGCGCCCTCTTGAAGGCGCGGTCGCCCCGCGTCTGAGAACCGGGGTCAGCTTTTGATTTCGTGTCTCCAGCGCTACGGCACTGTTTAGCCCTAGTGCACCCTGCAGAGGGATGAACGGCATGATAGAAATTGGTTTTGGAGTCCTGCGCAGAGTGGAATGTCAGCTCTGCTCCCTCTGTCCAGAAGACAAGTTAGTTTTTCTCTGAGCCTAAGGGTTGTTTGTTTGTTTTTTATAAAGCGAGACGTTATTATCAATCACCTTGTGAAATAGGACTACGAAAAACAGTATGCCCAAATGAATGCTTGGCATAAAAATTATTTAGTGTAAAAAAGATCCGCAAGTAATTTGTAGCAGAAAGTAAACAGTCGCGAGTATTAGGTTGTGGCCTGACAATTCCTGGGTTTGCCTGTGACAAAATTTTAACCTGTAACAGTAAAAGGAGAGGGGCTGGTGAGATGGCTCAGTGGTCTAAAGCACCTACTTAGAGCAGGCTTAGCAAAGCACAGGGACCGCGGTTCAATCCCCCAGCACCACATGCCAGCCGGCCCCGCCCCCTGGTGGGCTGAGCTGGCCACACGCGCGCGCGCGCACACACACACACACACACACACACACATAAATAAAGTTTAAAAAAAAAAACAGTAAAAGGAGAAAAATGAATTTAAAGGTAACATCCTACAGTCAGTGAACTAGTCTTTTTTAACGCTTATTTACAGGTGCATGTGTATGTGCTAGAAGAGCCCTCTTTTTATGAAATAATGGCTATTTCTTTTTCTGTTTTTTTGTTTTGTTTTTGTTTTGCGGAACTGGGGATTGAACTCAGGCCCTTGCGCTTGCCAGGCAGGCACTTATTCTACTGAGCCATAGATCTTTTTGTAGACAACTTTTTTATGCCAAGCATTCATTTGGGCATACTGTTTTTTCGTAGTCCTATTTCACAAGGTGAATTGATAATAACGTCTTGCTTTATAAAAAGATCCCCAGCCCCTGTTTCTCATCTTAAGAACAATTGTTTTCGTTTTCTGTGGACTAATTGAAAATGCCTAGGAGCACTGTTTCAGTGAGCCTTGATTACAAAACTGAGAAATGTTCTTTTCTCCTGGTTGTGGATGAGGCCCTGCTGTGCTATGCTGATGACCATCTGAAATGGCCTTGTGCTGGGTAACCCCAAGGTTTGAGGTGTAGCATTTAGAAATTAACTTTGGGTACAGTTTGCTACAGGCACCTAACATGTTTCATTTTACAGGGAAGAAAGGTTTATTTAGTTTACATGCCCCCTACAGAATTTTAAGGTCTAGAAAATTAGCTACATTTACTGAAACACTTGGATAACAACTCCGTGTACTTTTTTGATGTGCTGTCTTGCATAGACGGTAACGTTTATGCTGGACTTCGAGCTATGAGAATGAAAGTTTGAAATTAAGAGTAGAAGACACTTAATGTAGATGGTCCAGTTCAGGCATCACTGATGGAGGACAAGAAAACAAAACTTGTCTCTTCTGACATCATAACTCTTGATTTTTAAAGTTTTTAAAAATTTTCTGTGGTGCTGGGAATTGAACCCAGGGCCTTGGGCATGCAAGGCAAGAGCTCTACCACAGAGCCACACTCTCGGCCCCAACTGTTGACTTTTTTTGAGTATTTCTTTTACATTATTTTATGTTTACAGCAAAATTGAGAAAGGTGCACAGCTACTTCACAGACCTGCTGCTGCACGTACGTAGTCTCCCCCTCATCGCCTATGCTGAGAGAGTGGCACGTTTGTCATACTTGATGGACCTATGCTAGCATTTCATTTTCCCCTAAGTTGCTGCTTTATGTTACAGGTCACTCCTGGTAGGGTACCTTCCATAGGTTTTCATACATCATTATTTTATACAGAGTAGTTTTCACTTAAAATTCTTTCTGCTGTGCCTGCTTATTCCCAGCTCTTGGTAACAATTGATCTGTTTATCAACTACAGTTTTCTCGTCACTTTTTTTATTTTTAGTAAGTCTTGATTTTGAATAACAAAATAAATGTGTCCAAAACTATTAGTGTTTCTTTCAGACTGTCTTGAAAGCAGTTGAGCAATACAGTCCTCCCACACAGACAGCCTCCCCCATTGTCAGTATCTGGCAGCAGTGTGATGTTTATTACAGTTGATGGACCTGTAAGAACACATTATGATCACCCAGAGTCCACTGTTTACATTAGGGTTCCCTCCTGATGAACTCCCAGCAAAGCCATCCTCCTGCCTCTGCCTCCCAAATGCTGGGATTCTAGGCTTGTACCGCCATGCTCTGCTCTCTTGGTGTTTATTCTTGAACAGTTTTTTTAATTGAACATTTTAATTCTCAGGATCATTAAAGGGTTAAGTTCATGATGGCTACCCTTTGGGCCTGTTCTTTTTTTTTTTTGCAGAACCGGGGATTGAACTCAGGCCCTTGGCACTTGCCAGGGAAGCACTTATTCTGCTGAGCTGTGTCCCCAGCCCCTCCTTTATGTTCTTTTCCATTTGTGCCCTCTGAAATATATGTACCTGCTAGATAAAAATACGTAATCAAAGTAACAAATACAATTCTGCACAGTGTTTTTAGCAGTTGTAGTGCGTCACTGTTTTCCTACCTGCCCATATGTGTATACCCCCTGAGCCCTATTTATTGTCCCCAGTTTCAGTAATAACTCATTTCCTGTTATTTAAACTCATACAGCAGTCAGGAGCCATGGATAATTCCAGTCACACAAGAACACAAGTGTTTGATCTACAGGGTGTCTGTGTTTGAAGTCATAATGACATGTTTAAAGAAGTACAGTTTCCATATTTTAAATAATATTTAACCACCCACTGCCTTAATGTTAGAAGCATTTTTCTCATTGATGTACCCATGAAAAGGCTCTTACTTTTATAAAATACTTTTTTATTTTAAAAACTTTATGGGAACCAAGGAGATAGCTCAGTAAGATAAGCACTTGCTTGGCAAGCACAAGGTCCTGAGTTCAGTCCCTGGTACTGCAATAAATAAATAAATAAATAAATAACTTTATAGAAGCCAGGCATGGTGGCACATGCCACCATGGTGCCTGTAATCCCAGCACTCCGGAGGCTGAGGCAGGAGGATTGTTTTGAGACCAGCCTGAGCTACAAAATGAGCTCAAAGACAGCCTGAATTTCATAGTGAGACCCTGTCTCAAAAAGACTAAAAAATAAAACTTTTTGACGTTCATAGTAGAAAGAAACATTGTTGTGTAATGATTAAGAACACAAAATAGTGGTTTCCATGGACCCTACTATATAAAGTACATTTAATAAATAATTGCTATTGTGATAGGAATAAATAATTGAAATACAGTATTTGGAATGTACATCAACAGAATGAAGATAATGTTTATGGTCAAAAGCTTAAAAGTAAGATTTATTACCCTTAACACTAATTCAAATGATTACACCTTAAATTGCCTATGATTGAAAGACCTAACATGTAAATCTATTACAGTGCTATTATTTTTCTCTCAAGTGAAAGTAAGCTTTGGGGAAGCAGTTTGACTGTTGACATTAAGACTTTTGGATATGTTAAAAATTTGCAAACTAATAGAAATAAAAAATTGTTACTGTACTCAAGTTTTTATACAGCACAGGTCAGCTCTCTGGAGTGGACAGTATTATGGTAGGTTACTTTATTGTCTTTATAGTTCTTATGTATATATGAAGTATGTCTTCCTGGAGGCACAGTTACTTCAGATTTTGTATCCTCTGGTATATGGAATGGTGAGGGGGGTGTCTTCCTTTACATTTTGCATATGCATTCAGATTTTTTAAAATTCGTAGTTATTTGGGAATTTGGGGGAATTTTTTTGTTTCTAGATTTATTTATTTGGTACGGGGTCTTATTACGCAGCTCAAACTTATAGTGATCCTCCTGTCTCAGCCTCCCCAGCGCTGGGATTACAGACCTGTGCCACCATGCCCAGTTTCAGTGGCCAGCCCCATGGTACTGGGGATCAAACCCAGTCCTTGTGGTTGCCAGGCAGGCACTTAGACTGCCCCGGCCCTGTAGTTATTTGTTAAATGTTTTTGTGTTTTTTTTTACAGCTCACTTTTTGTCTTCATTTGACATTTTTCTGTATGAGGAACTATATAGGTCTATAGTTGTCCTCATTCTTTTATTGATTATATAGTATTTCATTTGAGGAGCATACATTAATATATTTAATGAGTCCTAATTTGATAGTGGCATGGGAATTTTCAGTGTTTGCTATTATTATTTAGTTGAACATTAATATATATATATATGTATATATATTTGCAGTCTTTGAAAATATATGTTTACATTTTTTACCTAAAACATTTCAAAATACTTTATGATTAGGCACTACTAAAATTATGACATGATCCCAAAGAAATCAGAAGCCAGACATACATAATGCTCCAGTCTTACAAATGGTGAACTCAGGCTGAATGTTGTATGGTGCCCACTTCCTCTCACGAGGTTCTCATGGGCATGTGTTGGGCTGAGCCCCCATTTCAGCCTCCACATCAACTCAGAGGTGGATGAATGAAATTTTTAGGGTATATTGGTTTATATTTTAAAATTCCTATCTTTAGCATTGTTGTGCTATCCATGTCTTTAAACATCCACTGCATTCTTCCTGATGGAAAATTTTGTCAAAGTTCTGTTTTTGTTCCCAAGTAATTAGATTGTTACTTGCACTTGATCTTAGCCAACAGGCTGAAAAGCGATTTTATTAGACTGTTACTTGAATGGAAGTAATTTTCGTGGGGTTTTCTGTTCTCGACCAGAGAAATGGTGGAGTATGTAACACTTGTTATAAGGTGAAAATGGTCATTTGTACAGATTTTGGTAAATAAAATTGAAGAAATATGTTATTAGGTATTAACCTTAATAGTAGTCATTTTCAACCAAATATGATTTTTCATCATTTTTCTGATAAAATATTTTATTAAAAAGTAGAGTTTTGTGTTTGTTGAGTTAAATTAGGAAGATCAAATATAAAGGTGAAAAGATTGAATTAAAGATCAGATTTGTTAGCAGGAAAGTGAATTTTAATAAAACAGTGTCTCTGATAGAAACACCACCATTAACCTTTTGCTCTTGCCTGGCAAGCACAAGGGCCTGAGTTCAATCCCTGGTTCTGCCAAAAAAAAGAAAAAGACTTTTGCTTTCTTAGGGGGGAGTTGTTCGTTTTGTTTTGGTTTTGTGATATAGGGGGTTGAACTAAGCTGCATCCTTAGTTCAGTGCCATCGCCCTTCTGTTTTTAAATTTTGAGGCCGGGAACTTGGGATCCTGCCTCAGCCACTGCTGAAATTAAAGGCTTGTACCACCATACCCAGCTTTTGTGTCTTAATTTTTAAAGAAATTACCACATTGTTTTCCACAGCAACTAGTTTATTTTCCTAGCAACAGTGGGCAAGGATTCTAATTTCTCCACATTCTTGTCAACCCTTTGTGATTTTCTGTTTTATTGATAATAGCCATTTTAATGAATCCAAGATGACTTATATGTGCTTTTCTTTCACTTTTTCTGATGAATAATGATGCTTTAACATTTGCATGTGTTAATTGACCACTGAATATGCATCTCTGGAGAGAAATGTCTACTTAAATACTTTACCCATTTTTCAATTGGTTTATTTGGGGCTTTTTATATTGTCATTGTAAGCATTTCTTCATGTATTCTGAATATTAATTTCTTCTCAGATTATTTGAAATATTTCTCCCAGTCTGAATTGTCTTCTCACTCTTTTGATACTTGACACTGTCTTTTGTGTACAAAGTTTGAAATTTTCTTTGGGTCCTCTTTTTTGGTTGTTGCCTATATGTAATGTAATTGCTGATGTTAGCAATTTGTAAATAAAGTTGCTATTAATATAACACAGTATTCTTTGGGATAGTAGAATATGCCATAAATTCAGACTTAATTCCTTGTTAGCTTCTTTGGAATTCAGTGCCTTGGTACTGGGTGACGAGCAGGTACAGGGTGACGAGCCTCATAGGTTACTGGGCTTTAAGAAAAAACAGCTAAAGCCATCTGTAGGGAAGACGTGCCATTGTTTCAAGTCTGTAAAAATAGCACCTCATTTTCATAAAATAGTATTACTTACCACAAATTTTCAAGGTTTAAAAGATTAAATTTTAAAATTTATTTTTATGACAAAAGGTTGGTTAGATCATGCTCAGTTTTAGTATGAGTTTATAAGAAAGTTGCTTAATATAAAGTAGCTTTTACATTTTTAATAATTCTTTTAATGCAACTAATTTGTGTCTTTCTTTCAAGGCCTACATGAATCCAATAGCAATGGCCAGATCAAGAGGTCCAATCCAGTCTTCAGGGCCAACCATCCAGGATTATCTGAATCGACCCAGGCCTACCTGGTATTTGTGAAAGAATTTGCCTATCTATAAGCTTTCTATAAACTTTTAAAACTTTTATTCTTACAACTTTTATTGTTTGCTAGCTAAGTAATATTTTAAAAATAATTTTTGA